TCCATTATGTTTTATAAAAACAGAAAGTAAAGATCATACAATGAAATATTTCTCTCTGGATTATCATCTGTATGGAGTGATCTATGTTATTGTTGTTAATATTAAAACAGAAAGTAAAGATAATACAATGAAATATCTCTCTCTGAATTATCATCTGTACGGAGTGATCTATGTTATTGTTGTTAATATTAAAACAGAAAGTAAAGATCATACAATAAAAAATCTCTCTCTGGATTATAATCTGTACGGAGTGATCTATGTTATTGTTGTTAATATTAAAACAGAAAGTAAAGATAATACAATGGAATATCTCTCTCTGGATTATCATCTGTACTGAGAACAATGTTATTGTTGTTAATATTAAAACAGAAAATAGACACGATACAAATTAATTTCTGCTTCATGGAAAGATTGTATTTGTATCATTATTTGTACGGAATAAACTCTGTCATTGGTGTTTATCTTAAAATAGAAAGCAGGAATAATACAAATTTATTTCTGTTCCTCTGTGTGCAAGGAATTTCATGTTCTTATATTTTAAAGGCGAACTAGAACCCATGGATCGCTCAGTACAGCTGTAAGTAAAACGTATCGGCTCTTACGGTGACTTAAGCATCATTCCAATTGTGAATCGCGGGTTCGAATCCCCGTCACACCAAACATGCTCGCCCTTTCAGCCGTGGGGGCGTTATAATGTGACGGTCAATCTCACTATTCGTTGGGAAACGAGTAGCCCAAGAGTTGGCTGTGGATGGTGATGACTAGCTGACTTCCCTCTAGTCTTACACTGCTAAATTAGGTACAGCTAGCGCAGATAGCCCTCGTGTAGCTTTGCGCGAAATTCAAAACAAACAAACCAATTGTGAAAAGTGATGGTATGTACCTGTTTTATTTGGTTAACCTTTGACATTGCTCCACAAATAGTAGATAAGGGAGACACGAATGCCTTATCATAGCGTGGAATACAACGCTGCATTGTTTGCTTTGATAGAAGTTCACCAAATGAATTTTGGTGTAAAGTCATAATAGTAAACTAGAGCTAAGATAATTAGGTTTAACTAAACAAACTGTATGCTTACATTCACTTAATATAACCTATCACATAAGTTTCAACCACATCTAGGCCTCCAAATGGTAGTTGTTAGCAGAGTGTTTAGTGTAGATCTGAATCATAAAAACGTATTAAAACTTATATATAGGATAAAAAAGTGTTGAGAATGAAGTAACTGAGATAATTCGTGGGACAAGTTGGTAATTTGTAAAGATACTTTCACCATACGTGTCTTTAGAAGGTTCGATACCTACATCTTGTATTTTTCATTCTTCTCTCTCTCGTCAAACCGTTTTTGTCCGTGTTTTTCGTGAATTAAGTTGTTAATAACTGAAAGTTTGAATTCATAAATTTCCCAATATATAACTTTCAATTCATAAATTTCCCAATATATAACTTTCAATTCATAAATTTCCCAATATATAACTTTCAATTCATAAAAATTTCCCAATATATAACTTTCAATTCATAAATTTCCCAATATATAACTTTCAATTGAATTGCATTTTTGCAGAACTTTAACGGGCTATAAGTTTAATTTTCAATCCTAAAATTAAATACCTGATTAGCATCTGTGTATTTGTCGTTCTACAACAATTTAGTATAAAAATATTAGTACAAAAGCTTTTAGAGCCACAACATGTGATTGGCGATGTTTAGAGCTACTCAAAACAAGTTTTATTTTGTTCGATAATTTCTGACAAACGAAATCAATAACATGACTTCATTTTCATTGGCTGCTACGGAAAGGGAAAAGAAATGAAAACCTACCTTGGTGGGCAAACATAATAGTTGCATGTTTGTGCCGAAGTTTTAGGTTTTCTGTCTTCATCGCAGAAGTACGGAGGCACTCTGAGTAGATCGTAGTCACGGAAACATTCAAAGATTGGCGTTTGGATCCCTGTCAAAATACGGAGGTTTGGTATTTATGAAGATTACTTCGCAAACAAATTGAAATATCCGTCACTTCATATGTAGTAGAAATGTAGGTTACATTATACACCAGCCGAAACATAGGCCACGCGGAGTAGTACTCTAATTGTAGGCCACATTATACACCAGCCGAAACAAAGGCCACGCGGATTAGTACTCTAATTGTAGATCACATACAAATATGCTTTCCTTACAACTTCCTTGGTCACAGATAGAGTTTTTTACAAGCCGTGTTCTAGTTTTTAAAGTATTATGTATTGTTTCCTCTTATTTAGTTATCTGGGACGTTTAGGTAAAAATTGGTCCTTGATGAAAAAGCCCATGAATCAAAGACTATGTGGTTACAGTAAGGGTGGGCCCAGGGGGAGTCAGCCATATGGAACAAGGGGACCTGAAACAATATGATAGGATAATTGAAAGTTTGTGAGACAACTACAATGAGCAGCATTTATAAGCGAAAACTCGTCTTCACCGGGCAGTTTTGAAATTGTGATAAATCTTCCATAAGGTGGGTTGGGAGCGATGGGCGTGGCGAATCTCTTACCTGGTCAAAGTCGTCAGAGGTCATACGTCTCTGGTTGTCGTGAAAAAAATAATAATTTCTTTTTCTTCTGTAGCAGGGCCGGCATGGCCAGGTGGTTAGGGCGCTCGGCTCGCAATCTGAGGGTCGCGAATTCGAATCCCCGTCACACCAAACATGCTTACCCTTTTAACTGTGGGGGCGTTATTATGTGACGGTCAATCCCACTATTCGTTGGTAAAATAGTAGCACAAGAGTTTGCGGTGGATGATGATGACTAGCTGCCTTCCCTCTAGTCTTACACTACTAAATTAGAGACGGCTAGCGCAGATAGCCCTCGTGTAGCTTTGCGCGAAATTCAAACAAACAATCTTATGTAGCATACAGTTTATAGTTAATATAATGTACTTGATAGCTGAAATTTATTTTTAAAGATTTCTAAGAAGCATGACCTAGTGGGGGTAAGCACTGAGTCCCTCCCCAGGTATCCACTTTAACCACTGATCAATGTACTTATGTCTTCCTGACGAAATGCAATTAAGAAATGCTATTAACTTTATTAATGATGTGCTTGAAAAAATATTCTCATTACAAGATCAGACGGTATAGAAAAAAAAAAAAAACTTCTTCAATGTGTTATATTAATTTAGTAGCAATTAATACAAATAACAAACCTTCCAAAGACTATCTTGCTCTGACTACACCGAAGTAATATTTGTGACTTGATATAGTTTATCTAGAAAACCAGATCTAATACCAAACCATTATTCAATGTAAACGTAATAAGTCTGTTTGCTTGTTTGTTTTGGATATTCGCGCGAAGGTAACCAATGGTTATCTGCGCTGTGCCCACCACGAGTATCAAAACTCGTTTCTAGCGTTAAAAGTATTCAGACTTACGTTGTGCCACTGGGGAGTGCTACAAAAGAGCTATCTGCCACATTTATGACGCGCCCATGTCCCCAAAATTCGGAGCGCAATTTGCAGCAACTGGACACAAACTATGAAACCTCGAATTCACACTCCGACACGCTAACTACTAAGCCACGTCCTAATAAAAAAAAGCAGTTAAATTCTCCTTTAAATAAATACATATAAATCCAATAATTAACACACAAAATCGAGATCACGAGTTCAATACTTATTTGATACAGTATTTAATATATCGCTCCAGTTAGCAAAAACTCTGATTAATTTATTTCGCTGGACTCTCCGGCCCCTGGTGGCTCAGTAGTAAGTCTAAGGGCTTATAACACTAACAACTGGGATAACTGCGAAGGGCAAAGCATGGATAGTACATTCTGAAGCTTTGCGCTTAACAACGAAATAAACACTTCACTTAGAAACAAGTTAAAAACTTGAGAACACAGCGCTGCTGCAATCTTTATTTAAGTTCATTGAAAACTTGTTTAATTTTATAGATATTAAAACAAACATTGAAAACTTGATTAATTTTATAGATATTAAAAAAACATAGGACCAAAAACAAACACAAGACCGAAAAACAAACATAGGATCAAAAAACAAACATAGGACAAAAACAAACAAAGGACCAAAGAAAACAAACATAGGACCAAAAAACAAATAAAGGGCCAAAGAAAACAAACATGGGACCAAAAAACAAAAAAGGGCCAGAGAAAACAAACATTGAACCAAAAACAAACATAGGACAAAAACAAACAAAGGGCCAAAGAAAACAAACATAGGACCAAAAAACAAATAAATGACCAGAGAAAATAAACATAGGACCAAAAAATAAACAAAGGACCACAGAAAACAAATATAGGACCAAAAATAAACATAAGACCAAAGAAAACAAACAAACATATGACCAAACACTTCAATAAATCACTTAAGAACCGATAAAGTTTCCTTACTTCAAAGACACAACGCATATCATTAACTAATTAACGAAATTAAATATAAAGGACCACTGACTCCCTTATAAAGCATTTCATAAATAAATTGAAGAAGTTAATGATAAAGGACCAGTGTTTAACAGTCTTATATACCTTTTCTTGTAAAGAGTTTCATCATATTGTTAACGTGCTTTAATTCTATAGAGAATTTATTTTAAATCATTAACATCTTTGTTAACCATAGAAACTTCACAATAAAACCTACTATAGATTAGAAAAAACCGTACAGACTCTATTAACAAAATAGAATATAATCATAGCGATTACGTGAAAAGAACAACACATTTTAATGTCGCGTTGTATCGACATATCAACACATTTGATGGAATAGTAAGTCGTTTCCTTCGTAAAGACGCTCCTCGGTTCTAAGTGTTTCGGTTTTGTTCTGGAAACGTAGGAATGAAAGAAAACCAACAGTTTTTTTAGTTCTTTCCTTCCATAAAGTTGAGATACAAACACAAAACACTGAATTATTTCTTAATTAATTTTAGGTTTGTTTGTTTGTTGTTAAGCACAAAGTTACACAATGGGCTAACTGTGCTGTTCCATCCTAGGTTATCGAAAGACGGTTTTTAGTGTTATAACCCTTCAGAAGTATCGCTGAGGGTGTGTCGGGGAGGATTGGGGGAATTGTTGTCCAAAGGAAAATGACAACAAACTGATTTGACATTAATTAATAAGGTCGCTCCTATCAATTTGTCATGAGAACTTTGAGAATAATTAAGTTTGCTGCTTATCAAATTTGAAATTAGGAAACTTGCTACAAATCTTGCACTCTTAATAGCAAAAATATTTTACTAAAAATATCAAATATCATATTTCGTATATGACATAAGTTAAAAACTACCGCCAAAACAAGAAGCGATGCATGATGAAATTCCAACTTTCTTCCAAAAGAACGTGATCGTGCTTCCCGAAGTGTTACCGAATTTTTCCGAATTGTTGCCAAGTCTTTCACCAGTTTTTTGTTTCGTGTGCTCTTCAAGTCGATTTATTACCATAATTCCCTCTGGTGAGTTCCGATAACTGGTACACGGTTGAAGAAAACAAACTTTTCTGTCAGGAGGGTAAGGTCCTATAAGTGATGAAACTAATAAATTTGTATACGTCATATTCTGGTTTTTTCTTCAACAAACACACAAGAACCTTCTTCAACAAACACACAAAAACCTTCTTCAACATACACGCATAAAATCTTCTTCAACAAACAGGCAAAAAACCTTTTTCAACAAACCATAAAAACCTTCAACAAACATACAAAAACCTTCTTCAACAAACACACAAAAACCTTCTTCTCTTGGAATTAAGTCTAGACATTTTAATTATGCTAATTACGTATGCGTTTCTTAGGATACAGATTGTCACGCATTGTTTTACATCGCATTCTTTATGTCTGATGTTCCATTGTTAGTTAGAAGAAACAAACAGTAGAGTTGTTTAAAGCTGCGTGCAAAGTTATTAACTACGTATTTCAAAAGCTTTCTAATAGAAACTGTAATTAATTATACAGTTTGCCGGTCAAAGAAGCCTACCATTGCATAGACGATATTTACAATTCTGGGTAATTAACGTTTTGAGGGAATTCTTAGTCCTAAATGGTTCAACGCTTATGAAAAAAATAATAATTGTGAGTAGGGAATCTTTTCAATTTTGATTTTAGTTATTCTAAACAATGATGAATTCTATAACATCACAACTTTTGAAATAATTATTACATCCTTAAAATCTAAACAAAATTTACTTTAAAAAAAACCGTAACAATACAATATTAGTAACCTGAGCATTTGTTAACAGGCAGCGTGGAAGGGATTTTAAGCAACTCCAGATATACTGTACATTCAACAGAACGTCGTTTCACTCCTTCACCACAGGAGGCGCTGCAAGGGCCCCAATTACCAACCGTAAACCTGAAAACAGCAACAAGTGTATTATCACTAAGTCAGTGAACTATGTTATATGTAATAATAGAAGATACTTGTAAAACATTTGCAGTCAAGTTAATATCTATATTACAAAAGTACTTCTTTAACTTCAGGATTTCTAGAATAAAACAAAATAATTCTAATCGCAGACTACGAAAACTATAAGTACAATTGTCTTAGGCCTAACATTAGTTAAACCTTTATTAAGATATTCGATAAAGAGATAAATTAAGACTGTAACTTGTGTACGTTTTTTGCTTTAGTTTAGTTAGGACTAAACTTTACCGTATTTAACACAATCTATCAATAAATAAAGTTATAATGATATTCTACGACCTAACGTTAGACTGCTTTTTAAAACTTTGATAAGCTTTTAATATGTTGTACAAAATGTTTGATAAAATATGTTTATATCCGTCTTTTGTTTACATCTGTTGAAATGAAATGTGCGCGCTTTTGCATTTAGATAGTAAAGTACAAGCGCATTTTCAAGACAGACAAAAACTGAGTACTATTATAATAGACAAGAATTTAAAAAATATGAATTTTAAAATGATGTAAGGGTCCTTCTATAAAAAGTAATGAAGCAATAATTAAAACAATAATCACAAATTTATAAAATGTAATCCTTACTTTGGCCTAAAGATAAATGTATAAAGCTGCCAAAGTAGGAATTAAGTTTTATAAATTTGGGGTTGTGACTTTAATTCTTGCTTCATTACTTTTTTATAGCAGGATCTCTACTTCATTTTAAAATTCATATTTTGTAATACTCTTGTTTGTTTACATTTTATGTTATACCTGTATATACCTGGAATATTAAAAGCGGAAACCCACAAACAAGTCAAGTAAGCTGGAGAGATCTTGTAGCGACAGTCCGAGCTGTCTAGGCGCTAGCCCCGCTGACGTGATCAGGTATGTGGGTAGAAGACGAAAAGTTGCTGTTTTAGAAGTTTTTGAATTGTTATACCGGACATGTTAGCGGCCTTTTTAGCGTATTATTAGTGTATACGCGCACAATATTTCGTAATCAATACTTTGAATGGTCGGTTTTTCGTTTAGGAATTCAATAGGGTGGTTTTTCGGCGCGTGAATTATTTGGAACCCTTGTCGATCCCTACTATTAAGTACTACTGTATTTAAAATAGACGGCAATATTCTGCTACTGACATGAATTGCATCCAAGTTTCAAACAAATAAAACAAAAAATTAATAACAATGGGTTCGAACAAGAAAAGCCGATATTTTTTTTTAGTATCTATCAAGCTGTAACATTAAATAAGACATATCTAATAATGTTAAGTCTATAAAAAGTAAAAATAATAAAGAACACGTATAATATATATAGATGTAGCTTAAGACTGAACAACTAACCGGTAGTATAAATATAGCTTAAGGCTTAACATTTAACAGGTAGTACAGATATAGTTTAACGCTTAACAGTTAACAGATAGTAAAAAAGGGGCTTAAGGCTTAACAATTAACATATAGTATAAATATAGCGTAAGGTTTAACAGTTATAAGGTAGTCTAGATATATTAAGGGTTAACTGCAACAAATATTATAATAATAAATTGTGTTGCCTTGGTTGTTTTCTTGGTCGAAATGATCCATTGGTCTGTGAGATTGTGAATAGATGGCTCTGGTTGTAAGGACGGTTCTGAGTTTCTTCGATCCAAGAGCTTCTGGCTGAATCTGAAGTTAAATTTGATTTTTTTGTTAAGTTATCATTAATCAACTTTTTAGTAAAAATGTTAAAACGTCTGGTACCGAACGTTGGAAAATATAAAGAAAGTAATATGTAGAATGTAAACTTCCTTTAATTAAGAAAACTTGTTGTTTTTTTTTCATCCGAGAGAAACATAAAGGATCGCTCCATCAAAATTTAATTATTTAGGAAATAAGGCTTTTAATATCACGTGCAGAAGATTTGTGTATCTGTCTGATCACAGCTTCAAGCCTAGATTATAAAATGATCGGAACATTTTATACACGTTGAATATATAGAAGTGTCTGTTGGAATATGTTATTACACTACGGAAGAGAATTGGAAATAAATATGAAAATGACAGAAACCTTCTCGTTATATTATCCAATAAGTTTTAACTTACAATACAACAAGCACTGTTCAACACAAATTATAGATAGATAGAATAGATATTCTTCCACAGGGTCCCCGAAAGCGTTCTGTTTCAAGAGTAAATAAAACCAAAATCAAGTGTAACAAATATTTGTATTTCTTGCTTTTGAAGTTCGTATGTTATGCTGTGTTGTAGCCTACAGAGTGCATAATTTTTCTCATGATTCTTGGCATGTGCACATTTTACTGACGTCACGACAATACAAATTGCAACGTTAAGCATCTCTTATGTGACGTAATTTTAGCACCTACTGAGTGACTGATAGACACACTACTGTATAGTGGTGCGAGGGATTAAAACAGGTGACCCCTCCAGGCAGCCATCGGGTAAATAAATAGATAGGTAAACAGATAGTTAGATAGATGGATGGATAGATAAATAGATTGAATGAGTGATAGATAGATATATTACCTGGCTGTTTACCACCAGTACAAAGGAGCTGTTTTACACAAGTTCGCCTGGACTCAGGTTGTGTACTAAGATCACACTCGGTGGTTAGAAACCCTTCAGAACTCCGACAAATCACAGCTCTTTCTTGATGACCTTGACCACACGTTGCTGAACACTAAACACAATAAATGTAAATGATCTAATGACCTTGACCACACGTTGCTGAACACTAAACACAATAAATGTAAATGATCTAATGACTTTGACCACACGTTGCTGAACACTAAACACAATAAATGTAAGTGATCTAATGACCTTCACCACACGTTACTGAACACTAAACACAATAAATGTAAATGATCTATCATTCAGTTTACCATTTGTCAAAGAGTTATATCGGTTTCGGGGAATTCCACCCCTCATTAGTAACCCTGAGCAACAGCAAATCGAAAGGATAAGACAAGTTGCTTTCATAATGTCTTCGAAACTTTTTACATGAGAAATTAAATTCTATAATTTATAGACATACAAACAATATCTGAATGTGTTTATTATTTTTAGATGTACAGATATTTCACGAACAGAACTAAAATTCTGAAAGATACTGAAAACCAATATAGGTAATATCTTCGTTATCAGAAACACAACCATAATGTATTTATCGGATTTATAGCGTTATCATAAAGAACAAGACAATGTCTTTTATTAAATATAGCAACAAAGCAATGTTGTCATCATTCGTAGCTTTATCATGATGAAGAAGACGTCACAATGTATTCAGATACTAGTAAATTGAATATTTTCATAATGAAATGATCACCTTTTATCGGTATTTTCAACTGGAATTTTACCCATATCTGCGCAGTAGTCAACGTAAGATTTTCTTTAGTTACTGGACGTTAAATAATGTACAATGTTAAGAAATCTACCATACATACTTACGTCAGACCAGGATCCTTTAAACCATAGAGGACAAACCCTGTTGTTACAGGGCTGTTGAGTGCGAGGTTTTGGTGGAAAACAAGATCCTTGTTTAACCCACACACTTGTTCTATTAAAACCGTTTCGAACACAGTAAACGTTGCGCATTTGGAATCCATTACCGCAACGAACGCTGCAGGGTCCCCAATCTTCCACAACCCATCTAAAGTTATCACAAAAAAATAATCCTTTGAACATATCTTTCAATCTTCATATAAAAGTATTGTATAACAGGTTCTTAATCATTTTGTGATTAGCTATGAATTCTTCTAATTTCTCTTCAATTAATTATTCACTCTAAAATGTACAATACAGAATATTGAATACGATGTTTCACTTTGAGATGGCTTAGTGCTTTCTATTGGCTATTTATAGTACTTAAACATGTTCTAGGCTGTTTTAAAATGGCTATTTAATTGTCTTGACATATTTATAGGTGATAAAAGTTTTTAACGTCTTCAGTTCTTGGTACGACAACAATCCCTTTCATCGTTCATAGAATATATTATTTATATTCTACTTACTTCAAATTTCGTTAATACTTCATAACTTTTTAATCACACAAATAATTAAGAAAATTAGAAAAGCAGAATCTGAAATACTTTACTGAAACAAACAAACATGTACGTACTTTAGAGGACATTTTGAAGTATTGCATGATCTTATACGAGGTCTTGGCCTTGTTGTATAGTCACAGAATCTCTCTGAAACCTTTTCTTCTGTTTCCATATCCTTGCAGAAAGGCCTAGACATCTGAAATCCTAGAGGAAAATATTGTGAGTCTTGATAAATACAACTAATTATCTATATTGTTTATCTAACACCAGTTACATAGTAGAATATATTGTATATCAATGTAAACACTTATTACAAGTTTAATAGCAAAACATATAAATGTAGTGTATATCAATGTAAACACTTGTTAAAAGTTTAATAGCAAAACATATACGGTGATTTTTTGCAAAAGATTTGCTTTACAAATTTCGAATTAGCGTTGTATCAAATTAGCATTTAAGTTTCTAATTTTTGTCTCATACAAAGAATTTCCCAAAAGTCTTTCCATTTAACAACAAAAATCGTCAGTTGGAACTAATAAAGAGAAATAAAAACTTCTGCAGTCAAGCCCGATTCTAATAAGTTTTATGTTTAAAAAAACTAGTTCTATTTTTTAAGTTTAGGTCTTTTTGCATACACCACTGCATTAAATATAATTTTCAGATGTCCTTTTGACTCTCATCATAGCTGAGCTCAGCAAAAGACCTCCTCAAGCAATACAACAGTTTGACTCTTTCTCTTCAATGAATACATATACATGATCATTTTCAAAGTACTTCCCGATCCGAGCACTTCCATCGGCACATATATGTGTCCCCTTCAAAGCACTTCCAGGGCACAAATATACGTCTCCATCCGAGCACTTCCTTTGATACATATATATATAATCATTCAAAGCACTTCCATCGATTCATATATGTGTCCCCTTCAGAATACTTCCTTGGGTACATATATATAATATATGCCTCCCTCAACGCACTTCCATGAGCATATGTCCCTTTCAGAGCACTTCCATAGGGACATATATGTTTCCATCAGAGCTCTTCTGTCGGCACATATATGGGACATATTGTATAACCTTTGTTTTAGCCTTGAAAGGTGTAATATTAACTATATTAAGATAGGGTATTCCATTGCAAACTTCCAAAAGTTTACCAATTTTATTTTTTTATAATATATGCCTCCCTCAACGCACTTCCATGAGCATATGTCCCTTTCAGAGCACTTCCATAGGGACATATATGTTTCCACCAGAGCTCTTCTGTCGGCACATATATGGGACATATTGTATAACTTTTGTTTTAGCCTTGAAAGGTGTAATATTAACTACATTAAGATAGGGTATTCCATTGCAAACTTCCAAAAGTTTGCCAGTTTTAAGTTTTAGATAAGTAACGAAATATTAAAATATGTGTGTGTTCCTTTATTGTGCATTTAAAAATAAACCAGGCACGGTGAGAGTATTTTATGTATGAACGTGACAGTTAAACAATAACTGTTTTCTTGTGTCATGTAGCACTTTAACTAAATCACACAATAATTTAAAACATATAAAAGCAAGTATTTTTACTCAATTCATTCAACAATTTAAGAAAGACAAGTAGCCGTAAACCTTTCAGAGAACCATTTTTAAGTTCTGTAAGACACAAATAACTAACCAGCTTTTTACATAAAAATATATAACCTTGAATGAATAAAACAAAGTTTTAGCACACACCTCTACCACAAGTAACAGAACAGGGAGTTAGATGGGTCTCCACCCACTCGTAAGAAGTACGTTTACAAGTTGTTCCATCACCTCCACATATTCCACAATCGTCCACTTTCTTCACTGACCCCAACTTCAGGTCACAACCTATGGGCTGAGATGTAGCACACGTTCACTAACATAAAACGTCTGTTTCATCTATTTTACAAAACCTGCTATGTTGAATATAAAACAATAACATTCGTATTCTCAGGACAAATACAACGAAGATCTGAAATATGACGTGTCTTAATAAAGAGCCTCTTTCTGGATGTTTTCCTTAGGATGGGAAGTTTCCATATTTTCTTCTCAAGATAATTAGACAAACTGTTACATTTTTGAAAATTCAAAGCATAGTTAAATCAGATTAATTTTACTTCACATCTACAGTTCAGAATTAAATGATCCATAAATATTGTTTATCAAACATATCTACGTATATTATGCGTATTGTCAAAACTGGCGATGTTGCGCTCAAAAGTCATAAACAATTAGCATATCGAACCGTAAGCTAGCTGTAGCTGTGGAGCTATATTCACTAACTGATGTCAGCCTGATTACGTCAAGAGTATATTTATTTTTGAACGTACTCAAGATTGTTAAAGACTAGACAGAACTCCATTAATGTTGTAAGACTTTTAAAATTGTCATTTCGCATTTATTGTATAATGTTTATCAATCTTAATAAATCTATAATTTCACCGTCTTTTACTGAGTCGTAGAAAATCCAACTTATATTTGGTTGATTTATACTTTTGATCAAAGTTACACAAACGGTTATCTGTGCTTAGTTTTTAATTGTGAAGTGACAGACCAGCGGAGAGGCAACTAGTCAACAGCACCCACCGCCATTTCTTGGAATGCTCTTATCTGACTGAATAGTTGGATTTAACTGTCACTCTTATTATAAAGTGTACTCACGTCCCCAGAGTGCGGAGAGTGTTTTTGCAGCAAGGTGCCAGCGAACTGTGAGTTAGAGTTTTACTAAATTAACCACCAAAACACGAGATCGTAGTTACATAAATAATGTAAAGCAGGAGAAATATCATTCACTACTACCCTCCCCCTCCACCCACACCCCGCTTTTATAGTAATATACAAACAATATTTTTGGATTTTTTTTTGTAATAATTCACTGCATATTTTAAAACTGACACGGTGTTGATGTTGTAATTAATCACAACATTCCTCACCCAATGTTGAGTGGTACCACTTAAACATAATCGTTAAACATATCTCTCCTAGTAGTACCACAAAAATACACGTTACAACGATGGTGTTATTAAACACATTTTTCCTAGTAGTACCATGGAAATACACGTTACAACGATGGTGTTATTAAACACATTTTTTCCTAGTAGTACCATGGAAATACACGTTACAACGATGGTGTTATTAAACACATTTTTCCTAGGTACCACGAAAATACACGTTACAACGATAGTGTTATTAAACACATTTTCCTAGTAGTACCACGGAAATACACGTTACAACGATAGTGTTATTAAACATAGCTTTCCTAGCAGTACCATGGAAATACACGTTACAACGATGGTATTATTAAACACATTTTTCTTAGTAGTACCACTGAAATACACGTTACAACAATGGTGTTATTAAACACATTTTTCCTAGTAGTACCACTGAAATACACGTTACAACGATGGTGTTATTAAACACATCTTTCCTAGTAGTACCACGGAAATACGCATTACAACGATTGTGTTATTAAACACATCTTTCCTAGTAGTACCACGGAAATACACGTTACAACGATTGTGTTATTAAACACATTTTTCCTAGTAGTACCACGGAAATACAGGTTACAACGATGGTGTTATTAAACACAGCTTTTCTTTACGCGTGTGAAATGATCTCATTGAAACATATGTAGAAGATACTTACTTTGTGTACATACAGCTTCTAGGTTAACGAACACATCTAAACACCGTCATATATCTTTAGCGTTTAGTCCTAAGTTTGTTTATTTATTCACCATTCTGCTATCGTAAAACCCCTGTTGTCAGATTATAGAAATACTTACCATGCATTTCCCACCTACACACATATCGAGAGACCCCTTACGGCAGCGAGTTCCATCTTGAACTCTAGGTGCTAACTTTGCGACAAACAGGTACGTGCTTGCTTGACATGTAAGGCTGCATGGATCTTCGGGATCGTAAAAGGGAATCCAGTGGTACAGCCGTCCTCGGTAAGGCCTGTTGTTGTGGGCTTTACACTGTGTAGCTCGGAAATCAGAACGATCTCTACATGGCTAAAAAGAATGTCTACTTTTACACTAAAGAAATTACTTAATTAATTAGTTATCTAAGATGGAGAGAAATGCCTATAATTACACTTGAAAAATTACTTGATTATCTTTGCTGAAGAGAAATGACTGATTTTGTTTGTTTGTTTTTGAACTAAAGAAATTACTTGGTTTAAATTACTCTAGTTTAAAAGAAATGCTACTTTTTCCGATAAATTAATTACATGCTTACCTCAGCTGAAGAGAAATATCTACGTTTTTACACTAAACACATTACTTGATTACTCGAGCTGAAAAGAAATGCCTGTTTTTTACACTAAACAAATTGTTTGATTACCCTAGCTGAAGAGAAATGCCTGTTTTTACACTAAATAAATTACTTGGTTACTCTAGCTGAAGAGAAATGTATGTTTTACACTAAACAAATTACTTGATTACTCTAGCTGAAGAGAAATGTCTGTTTTTACATTAAACAAGTTACTTGATTACTCTAATTGAAGAGAAATGTCTGTTTCACACTAAACAAATTACTTGGTTACTCTAGCTGAATAAAAATGTCTGTTTTTACATTAAATAAATTACTTGATTACTCTAGCTTAAGAGAAATGTCTGTTTTTACACTAAACAAATTACTTGATTACTCTAACTGAAGAGAAATGTCTGTTTCACACTAAAAAAATTACTTGATTACTCTAGCTGAATAAAAATGTCTGTTTTTACATTAAATAAATTACTTGATTACCCTAGCTTAAGAGAAATGTTTGTTTTTACACTAAACAAATTACTTGATTACTCTAGCTGAAGAGAAATGTCTGTTTTACACTAAATAAATTACTTGATAACTCTTGCTGAAGAGAAATGCCTGTTTTTTACACTAAACAAATTACGTGATTACCCTAGCTGAAGATAAATGGCTGCTTTTTTATAAGGAAGAAATTACTTGGCGAAGAAATGCGGATTTTTTGTTTAGTTTGTAGAACGGATTTAAGCTTACACCTCGTTCACATTTTCACCTGTGAATGGTTATATGTTGTTGGTGTTTGTTATACCTAAGCACTTACTAAAACTGTACTACATTACCTTCAGAGTTGTTATATACTAATTCTGTGTTGTTAAATTCGCTGTGTTCAATACACAGTTGGGAATGTTTGAAATAGTTTAAAAGCTTATTGTACATGTATTTATTTTTGGTCTCCCTGAAGACAATCTGTATTAACTGATCAAACGTCTTGAATTTTACCTGCATATTACATATACTATAACGAATCGAATTTCCGGAGCATCCTGTTTTCGTTACGCACTGTCGAAGTTGGTAGGTTACGCCACCGTCACAGCTCCTCGAGCATATTCCCCAAGTGCTCCATTCTGACCAACCCATCGTAAATTCATCTCTCTTATGCCCAATCTATTCATGTTTAACAAAAATGAAAAATAAATTATTATACATAAAAGTACCTCAGGACAATATTTACAAGCATCCACCAAGAAGCAAATATAGCAAAGAAAGAAACCAATACTTAACTTTTGAAACGTGGAAAGTTTAATAGTAGCAACTAGCGACAGGTAAATTAAATGAAAAACTCGCCATTAGTCACCTACGGATATTTTTCTGTTTGTTTTCTAATTCAGTGAGCCTGATTATATATATGTTATAAAACTTTAGATATGGGTTGCAATAAAACCATTTGTAACTTTACACAACTACGAGGAGAGAACCTAACAAAGTGTCGAAAAGTCACAAACATTATTATCGCTGTCTCAGTTATAGCGTCTAAAAATGTGAATTTCAAATTATATTATTGGGGAAACTAAATCATGAAACGATATCTTTCTAATGTGACTGTATTATTGGGGAGCTAAATTCCCCAATGATATATCTCTAATGTATATATATTACTAAGGAAAGTAAATTATCCAAGAATGCCTGCAAGACAAATGTATTATTTGAGAAACTAAATTATCCAACAGTATTTATAACATAGGTACAGTAATATAAATTTACAATTCAAGTGCGTTTTGGTGTGTCATAATTTGAAAGCGAACAGACTGTATTCTAAGTTTTGTGTTATGAAGTTTACAATAGAGGTTTAATAATATGGACAATTAATTTCTGTCTTCACTGTTTCTGTCTATTGAATATTCAAAAAAAATTGTTGCCTTTTAGTTAATAAGAACTGCACTTATCAGTTTATAAGTAGTTATTCGGAATATACATGTTAGTTACATAGTTATTTATTTTGTACAGAACTACATGGCGTATTATACCGTCACAAAGCAAAACTCTAATTAATGAAGGACTCACCGTTGAAGGAAAATTCAATCGCACCAAGAATTGTGTTTAGTAATCAATAGTTTTACGATGTATTATTTCAATTATTCAATATTTCCTTAAGGGCAAGAAAAAGACAGAGTGCTAGTGGTAAAAAGATATTTGTCAAGGTCTATCTAAAACACGGTGTTATACAAGCATATAACAGACAGACGTTATAAAGCCACAGATGTTACAATAGTTCAGAATAACAAGAACTCTTGGTAGTCGTACAAGCCACCTGAGCTTCTTTAAAGACAAAATAACTGTTCTAATCAAATCCAACATACCAAAAAAAAACAATTTAACTGCATGCATCGTTTTATAATAGATCCTAAACAAAAACAACTTAAAAATAGAACATCTCAAATACACCTTGAAGATATAGTCAAAATGTATTACATTTATTTTACTAAGAATCTAATGATAAAGATAAACAGATACTTACGTTGATCTATTAATAACAAATTTTCTAAAATTCCACGACCCTCGCGAGAATATTTCTTTCACAAAACATACTCAAAACTAACATCTAGAACTGAAAAAGCGATACCCTGAAGGTTTACAACACAAAGAAAGAAAGTCACCATGAAGAAAAAAATGTGTAATATCCATCACAATCTAGCAACAATGTCATTTTATTGCCAAACGCTGTCAAGTTTCTTGTCTAGTAAACAGAATTTTTGACAAAAACCTAATTCATGTTTTCCCTCCGTGATACAAAGCACGCTTCAACTTCTTTAAGAACTTTCGTACTCTTTACGAGAAAAGAAAAAATTGAGCTGATTTATAGAGTTAGTTTTATTTTTGCCTCGATCATGATAAAAGTTAACGATTTCTAGCAAAGTGGAACTTTTTTTAAGTTGTCTTTCTACTTCGTATTTACAATTAAGTTGTCTTTTGCACGAGCAGCAGTAAGTGAATGAAAAACATCGAAACATAAAGAATTGTACGCTAATTCAAAGAAACCGCCATGTTATTAATAACACACAATGTTACGAATTTCATTCCGACACTTACATTAGTGTTTCATCATGTGACATTAGTGAGACAGTATCCAAGGCACTTTTCACGCTGTAAAATGTCTAATTAACTACTGTAATAGATGCTTGACCATGTGAGAAAAGTAACCATCCGAATTATACTGTAATATAGCTGCTTGACCTTCTGGGTAAAGTAGCCACCCAAATTATGCTGTAATAAATGCTTGATTATGTGACAAAAGTAACCATCTGAGTTATACTGTAATAGAGCTGCTTGACCTTCTGGGAAAAGTAACCACTGTAAATAGATTTAAAGCTATAAAAACTGTTAAATAGTAAACATCTCATTGATACTATAAATACTTGACTTGAAAGAAGAAAAATGAACCTTCAGATTAAAACTGTAAATATGCTGCTGGATCAACCAAAATATAACTTAGGAATCAATACTTTAAAAGCATTTCATGATCTTCTAAAAGAATAGCGAAATTTTTACTACAAAGATTATGCTTACTCTTCTACAGATGCCAACATTCTGTTCATACTGTAAAAGTGTGTGTTGTTTAACCTACTGAAAATGTAACTATCTGATTCTTGAAACTTTGTAGAATGGACGGCAAGTGCCTGTTGTAGTTTGTTTGTTTGTAATTAAGCA